ATCCAACCAAATATGTTAACTCTATCTCTGATATTGAGCACTTTCTAATAAGTACCGCGCATATAATATATAAATAATTATACATATATATATTTATTTATATTTATATACATTTACACACACACGCACACATATATATATATATATATATATATATATATATATATATATATATGTATATGTGTGTGTGTGCGTGCGTGTGTGTGTTCTGAACAATAAAAAAATACTAAAAAATTAAAATCTTCAGACACACTGGGTTGTATATTAATATTCTTTCGTTTTTATTATTTCATTTAGATTTCTCGACTAGATTCGGCTAACATGGCCATCAAAGGAGAAAAAAAAATTCTGTTTGTTAGTAGCAGGGAACTACAGAAATGAATGTCTTGATGGAGAAAATGAACTTTATTTGTAGTTTTCATTTGTTTTTTTTTATTTTTTAAATTTTTTTTATCTTTTATTTTTCTGTTTTTTTAATTTTTTTAGCATGAATTTTGCTCAACGCCGTACAACGGCCGATACGTTGTAATAAATATGGCGACAAAGATGAGGACAATAGTCCGAATAATATAAATAGTGTACGGCTCACAAATTAATTAACGTAAACAGAACTTAAAGGTAGTGTAATATCGGTTCCAAAGTGGAATTGGCACACCGTCTTCAGATTTCTTGCTTTCAATTTCGCACAAAAACGTCTTTTACTCACCCCCCCAAGCAACGGGCTAGAGTTTGGCTATGGTACAAACCATAGTTATCAACAAGACATCATGAAGACTGATGGTTGTTTAATCATGATATGATAAATATGGGTGTGGCATGTTGGTCCTCATAAACAAATCACTACGTTCTTTGTAGACTATTTCCACTCATTTTTATCAGGAAGACTGGGAATGTTCTAGTAGGCCAGCAGATGGTTAAAAATAGACGTGATATTAAAAACGATCAAAGACTCTCTGGGCATGTTTGGCAAGGTAAAACCCATTCATCTATCGCCCAAAGAAATCAAGGCAACTCACAGAAAACTAAACCAAAATCTTTGAATAATCCCTGTCTCCGTCAAAAATAGACGTGCCATTAAAAAGATCAAAGGCTCTGTGCATGTTTGGCAACTAATCTAAGCGAAGAAAACCCTGAATTCTAAAGGCAACGTAAAAAACTATTCTAATATTTTTCGACCAAGAAATCAAGTCAGCTCACAGAAAATAAACCAAAACCTTTGAATATTCCCTGTCTCCGTCAAAAATAGACGTGACATTAAAAAATATCACATGTATATTGCTCAAGTGTAAACTCAGAAAACACTGACGGACAACATTTTAAACAGTATAAAAGTCTCAAAACCTTAAAGCGTTTTACTGTTTTGCAATATCTACACTTGGCATAATGTTCTAGGTTCGCCCTTCATTTGACGGGGTATAGAAGGTAAATCGCTCTCATCCTTGGCCAGCTTTCAGGCTATATGGACGTGTCATGTGTTTTCCTTCGCCATTCACTACACTATACAGACTGGTAACTTCTCTTTATTCAACGGTCATCCCGCTGACGGGGCCGTTTTATTTCGTTCATAAATACAAGACAGTCGTTTTAAGAAATTATCACTTTGAAAGTCGAATTCTTAAAGAGTATGCAAGCAAAATCAATAAAGAGCCGAGTAAACTTGGAAGGCAATTCTATAATTTCCATCACATTGCGCAGAATGATTGCCAAATTTTATAGGAATATAATCTGTACTTAATTTATCACAAGGCAACAATTGTAGGTAACACGGGACAGTCCCTTCTCTCTCATATATATATATATATATATATATATATATATATGTGTGTGTGTGTGTGTGTGCGTGCGTGTATATATATATTTATATATATATATATATTTTTTTTTTTATAAATTAATTGATTTAAAATATGTTTTTTCGCTACACAGAACTGTGTAGCGAAAAAACATATTTTAAATCAATTAATTTATAAAAAATTAATGCTCTGTAAATTTACATTGAGCACTATTTTGCAAAAATAAAATATCTATAAGAACACCGAATTATATATCTTACTGTTCTTTCTTTTTATATATATATATATATATATATATAATAACAGTGTTATTAATTTTGTTTCAATTAATTTGCACAAGGGTATATATATATATATATATATATATATATATATATATATATATATATATATAATAACGGTGTTATTAATTTTGTTTCAATTAATTTGCACAAGGGTATATATATATATATATATATATATATATATATATATATATATATGTGTGTGTGTGTGTGTGTGTGTGTGTAATATTGTTATACCTTATTTATACTGACACAAATATTTAAGTAAATGTTCTGGTTATAATAAACTGTATTAACAACATTTACCAGCGTAAACGCCCGAGGAATTTTTATAGAAAATATGTATCCCCCGACAGGAATCGAACCTTTATCCCACATGGAACCTTCATATAGCCTGACATGCTATACCAGATATGATCGTTCGAGAGAAATCATAGAAAATTGTAGTTTAACAGCAGTGAAATCGAACTTGCTAACCAGACGTTCCTCTGTAGCTATACTGCTATAACACGTCAGGCTATATGAAGTTTCCGTGCAGGATAAAGGTTCGATTCCTGTCGGAGGACACATATTTTCTATGAAAATTTATCGGATGTTCAGGCCGGTAAATGTTGTTAATGCTGTTTATTATAAACAGAACATTTACTGAGATATTTGTGTCAATATAAATAACGTATAGCAATAAAATATATTAAAATAATCGCCGGACTTTTTCCAGGTCTTATATATATATATATATATATATATATATATATATATATACCTTTGTGCAAATTAATTGAAACAAAACGAATAATTCCGTTATTATTTACTTATTTTTGTATTTTTCCAATAAAACATCACTCAGTGCTCATGTTAGTATTTCGTTCGTATGTCCATTCCACGAATTCTTTCCTTGCAGATTGACCACAATCTATAGTACTTTGATTTGCTCACCGGTAAGGCTTGCCAGTCTCTTCATGTAGCGTTACAATTTTCGCGCGCTTTCTTGAGTAACGTCCATCGGAGACAATAGCCGTAGGCCAACTAATCGACAGTCGACACAATAGTGCTCAGGCGTGATAAAAATCTCATGCAATCACGGTTGAGGCGATATTTTTCAAGGCCAAACAAATTTCATCATACACCCTGCAAATAGATATAGCAGGCCAATCCTCTCATCTATCTGTAATGTTGTTCTCTCCCCGCCCACTCATTTAGTTAATTCTCTTCTATATAGATACAATTCTGTTTGCGGAGTCAGCTACATACGGAGAACTACCCAGCAACTAGATGCGAGAATGAAACAAGCATCACAATTTGCTTCCAAATAAATTCATCCAAATACCTATGGATCCTCAATTTGTGAGCATCCTATGAAGTACAGTGAGTGTGTGGCTGAATTCAGTGTTAACTGTTTCACTCTTTTGTCCCATACACACTATTTATTTCATCTAAAAGTACTAGAGTCACTGTATATCAAGTCCTGCAAACCGTTTCTCTGTAAACAGCGTGATTGTTTGCTGGGGGAGGGTCTATCATTAATTTCTAATGCCACCCCACTATATTTTATTTTTTTCTCCCTTCTCTATCCTCTCATCAATCATTCGCCAATTTAGATTTATTGTATTTTTTTTACTCTTTTCTCCCGATTAAAAACTTTGAAGAGCGGGAGCGAAAACGATCATTTTCCTATTTCATATATATATATATATATATATATATATATATATATATATATATATATATATATATATATATATATATATTACCATAAGTTTTTTTTAACTGTGCCAAGTAATATTCAGCTTCATGTTTTTACAACAATACTGAAGTTCTGTATCACTAAGAATGTTTCTATATATGTATATATATATATATATATAATTATTTATTTAGAAAATTTATAACATAAACATGTTATAAAATCACTACAAAAATACCCATTTTGTTTCAACACTCTCGGTGTCTTATCAAGTGATGATGTTGAATGCAAAACAAATAGTTTTAAAAGTTTCAAATTCGTTAACGATCTTTCACAAGGGGAAAACGTTGTTCCAAAATAATATATATTATATATATATATATATATATATATATATATATATATATATATATATATATATATATATATATTACAGCAAACAAACAAAAATCACTTAAAGAAAATATATATATAAATATGTGTTTAGTTATCAAATAAATGTACTGAAAATTTCTGCTCATACATCATGTGTTCTCTAAGAGTGTGGTTGTTCTATATATTTCACTGATGCCAGGGATCACCCCCAGGCTTAGAATTTCGTATGCTGACTTTCACCCTCAATGTTCAGAATCTTACAACGACATAGTTTTCCCATCTTCACACATTTAGCTCGAGATCAGTTTAGTATAGATTTAACATCTATATAACTTTATGTACAGCCATATTTTACATTATCAAATTATGGCTCTCCAGTTTCCCAAAACAAATACAGACAAAGTAATTTAGTGAATAAATCTCTCAATTTTATTTGATGTTTTTTCTTCTTTTCCCTTTTATACTTGTTTAGTTGTGATTTCTTTCTATAAGAATTTGACCTTTGGCTCGTGCCATCGTTCTCCACCCGGCAATTTAAAAGATCAACGCCAGACAAGAGCAAACGTTCTGTTTGATTCTGAAACTATTGTTTATGAGTCTGTTATAACTACGGCTGCTCGCCTCCATTTTGCTGTCGAAGAGACTTGAGTGGACGGCCAACACTTTTTATTGAAAACGGTCCAATATTTGACAATTAAATTCCAGACAAAATCTGAGGCGGTGATGCGAAATAGTTTCAAAGCTGGGAGAAATTACTGTCTGCTGCATTTAAACCCTACACCCTTTTCAAAACCACTACCCCTTCCCTCAACATCAATTACCGTCGCCATTCTCGGAAAATTATTTCCCCTTTTTCTTAACTAGGCGTCCGTTCCTATTCTGTAAAGTTGACCCATAATTCAATTTATTTCAATCTTGTTCAAGTTCCCTCTCCAGGCTCTCAACGTTCTCTCTAAAGTCCGTTCATCTTCTATTTCTTGTACCTAACAAAAGGTTCATAAAGCCGAAATCTTGAATCTCGCTCTATAACTGGGTGGTAACGCTGGTTAAACATTTTACTACATGGTAATATCTAATAACGATTCTGAAACAGAAAATGATTAAGATTAAACCGTGAGAAAACTCAGAGGCGGGGACTAAAAGAAAAGAAAGAACGGGTTGAAAGAGAACTTTAAACTGTGATGCAAAACTCCAGATATTGTTTAACCAGTATAACATAAAATTCCGGAAATAGGAATATAATTTGACGTTATTTCAGGATCTTCCATGTACTGAGTCGCTTCAGGTTATGTCTGATCAATGCTCTTCACAAACTCCAGTGCTTTTTGTTATTATTACAAAATCTTTTTGGTATCAAAACACAAGTTTGGGTGTTAACTATTTGCACAGAGCTAGGACCCTAACAGGTGCTAACCACCCCGGGTCAGGTTGGACCTGGGAACACCAGAAATAAAGAGGTGGTTTCACGCTCTTCAGAACCTCCTGATCAGAGACCTTGCTGTTGGACGTAGTTATATCGCCATACCCAGGACGTGGATGTAGTTTATCTTCATACCCAGGATGGCAAAATGATATTAGATGTCAGTGATAAAATATACAAGCAAAAGACATTGAGTCATGGGTAGGATATGTCAAAAGCTCACATGGGCTTGCTATTTGATAAAGAGAACTTTGAACTGTGATGTAAAAGTCCAGATATAGTTTAACCAGCATAACTTACAATTCCGAAAATAGGAATATAATTTGAGGTTCTTTCAGGATCTTCTTTCTTCTATGTACTGAGTCGCTTCCGGTTATGGCTGATCAATGCTCTCCACAACTTCTTTGTAGCCCTTAATTACGTAGGTCATTTTTCGCGTGCCCACTCACTGTTCAGCTATCTATCCACATATGCTCAACAGGTACATGGCCTGCTGCATTCCCCTGTAACTTCTCTCTTCGATGTGCTATCAGAGTGTCAAATTAAGAGGCGGTTCCACGCTCCTCAAAACCTCCTGATCAGAGACCTTGCTGTTGGATGTAGTTTATCGCCTGACCCAGGACGCGGATGTAGTTTATCGCCATACCCAAGACGGCAAAATGATATTAGATATCAATGATAAAATATCAACTTGCCAAATTGTTCGCACCTAACATTTTCCCGGGAAAGTGCTTTATTTCCACTCTGCATTTAACGACGACTTGGAAGTACAATAGTGTATGAATGATTCAATTTATTGACGCAGATCAATGAACATTCGACTCCAGGTGTGTCAATATAGAGCGTTGGGGAAACTTTTAATTGCCACGAGAGAATGTGCAGACGTTCTTCTCGCCAGATTTTCGCATAGGCAACAACAGTATCATACACATTCACAACGATGTCATGTTAGAATCACCTGAAGTCTTGAACAGCGTTATGCATTTCTTGATAATAAAAGCCAACTCTGCCTCTGTACAAGGCCCGGGGGAGCGATATCTTCTAGAATGTATTCGCCCACGATATACAAACATAACACATGCATGTCATGGGTATAATATATCAAAAGATCACATGGTCTTGCTGTTTGAGAAAGAGAACGTTGAACTGTGATGTAAAACTCCAGATATTGTTTAACCAGCATAACATACAATTCCGGAAAGAGGAAAATAATTTGACGTTCTTTCAGGATCTTCTTTCTTCTATGTACTGAGTCGCTTCAGATTATGGCTGATCAGTGCTCTCCACAACTTCCAATACTTTGTAGTTTTTAATTATGTATGTCATATTACGACCACCCACTCACTGCTTTCTCCTGTACTTTCTCTCTTCGATATGTTATCAGAGTGTCAAATTTTCCAAGCCTTCCTTCCTCATTATGTGTCCTACAAATGTACGCTATTTCTGATTCTAAGTATAAGCGTTCTTTTTGTGTCCCGTTTAATTAGAATCCATAAAGTGTGTTTGAAGAAAGTTCTAGGAAGATTTAAGCCTGATATAAAATTAGTAGAATTTATTAAGATTTAGTAAGACTAAACAATTTTTCTCGTCTGAGATTATATATTTATAAGTCTACCATTTGCCAGTACTTTGAATATTGCTATCACGTATGGTCAAGTCCTCCTGCTATATATTTAGAGATTCTTGATTAATTAGAAAGAAGAATCTACAGCTTTATTGGCCATGACCTGGCATCTCGGTTTCAGTCCGTTTCCCACCACTGTAACATAGCTTCCTTGTACCTTTTTCAAGAAATACTTTCGTGCTAATTGTTCTGATGAACATTCCTCTAGGGTACCTGGATTTTATGAATTTATGTGCGATACTAGACTGACGGCAAGTTAAGTCTTCTATCGCACATGTGGTTTCTGATACTCTCTTCCGGTTTCTTGCTTCCCAGTCGACTTTGAACTTCAAAAATTTAAATGCAATGTCAATCTTTATCTTCTGTCTGCATAACCCCTGTTCTTTTATTGTTATCTCTTCTTAACAGTAGTTTTTCTCATATTCTCTGACACTCAGTAAGCATTTGCGTAGTGGTGGCTTTATTGCCTTACATGGGATGAAATGATAAAAAATGTTTTCAAACCCACCCAGTTGCCTTCGAGACAGTATATCAAGATTGATTCAAGAATACCAGAAAGCTGTAACATGAGGGGAAGTAGAAAAATCAGGCGTGGCTGACAACATATAGAGAGAAAAGGGAGATCACCGCCCTCTGTCGGATCAGGTTGAGATCATAGACAAAGGAAAATTCGTAAAATTAAGGAATCAGCACATATGCTAGGCTACAAAAATCTCCTGAGCCGACCAAACATAGAAATGAATACAATATGGGAACCACTAATAAGTAAAAATATTTGCTGAAGACATTAGGTTTATAATACCGAGAAATTCATACACAGATGTCCTCAAGGACACATGGTGTTAGTTAGATCCAGTGACTGGAGTTCAATAGCCAGTTAAGGTAGTGGAAACTTGGAGAGGGGAGTTAACAGGAGATAACTGACATCCATTAAACGGGGAACGTGGAACTAGAACAGTCTACCCCAGTGAGTGAAATAAAGGGTTCAGTTCGACCTTCCAACCATCAGAAGAAGGCCGGAGCGTACAACAGACGAAACGTTATAATAAATATGGCGACAAAGATGAGGACAATAGTCCGAATAATGCAAATAGTGTACATAATACCTCATCACAGAAATATAGACAGATATTGAAGGGCCGAAACGTTGTAATAAATATGGCGACGAAGATGAGGACAATAGTCCGAATAATGTAAATAGTGTACATAATACCTCATCACAGAGATATAGACAGATATTGAAGGGTCGAAACGTTGTAATAAATATGGCGACATAGATGAAGACAACAGTCCGAATAATGTAAATAGTGAACATAATAACTCACCACAGAAATATAGACAGATACTGAAGGGCCGAAACGTTGTAATAAATATGGCGACAAAGAAGTGGACAGTAGTCCGAATAATGTATATAGTGTACATAATACCTCATCTCAGAAATATAGACAGATACTGAGGGACCAAAATGTTGTCATACACTTGTCTCCCATTCCCTCTATTCGATCCGTGAGTATCAGATTCTCCAGGCCCTCTTTCCTTATTATATGTCCCAAAAACGTCATCTGCCTTTTCCTGATGTTAAATTTAAGCCTCCTCCTTGTTTGTAACCTCGTCGTTGCTCACACGCTCGGTCCATGATATCCTTAGCATCCTTCTGTAGAACCATACCTCCATTGCCTCGAGTCTCTTCTTTTCTCATTACGTGTCGCAGAAATTTCATCTGCCTCTTCCTGATGTTAAGTATAAGCTTCCTCCTTGTTTGCATCCTCTCCAAAACCTTATCGTTGCTCACACGCTCGGTCCATGATATCGTTAGCATCCTTCTGTAGAACAATACCTCCACTGTCTCGAGTGTCTTTTTTTCTCATTACGTGTCCCAGAAATTTCATCTGCCTCTTCCTGATGTTAAGTATAAGCTTCCTTCTTGTTTGCATCCTCTCCAAAACCTCATCGTTGCTCACACGCTCGGTCCATGATATCCTTAGCATCTTTCTGTAGAACAATAACTCCGTTGCCTCGAGTCTCTTCTTCATCTTGGAATATTTTGCTTTTCCTTTTGCTGTGCGTCTGGCCATCTTCCACACCACAAAAAGCTGGTAGGGGAATCGGTTTAGTAGCTTTCGGAGAGTGACTTGACATAGCAATGCTTGTTTCTGATAATAAATAATATATTCACTTTGCGTGTCTTTCTTTGCTTCACGTGACAAGGACGGAAGTAGTTCATGAAAGAAACTTTTTTATACGGAGGCTTCTTACCCAACATGCTGAGAGCATAGCGATGTTTCCAACTTTATCATCGCAATATCAGTTGCCATTTTACTCGCCTGAATCCAAGCATTCACTCCCTTTTATTTTTCTTTACTTTCTATCATCTTTTGCACTATACCCAGAAGTTAAGTTATCTAGTTATTTTTGAAAAAAAAAAAAAAGAATAATTTCCTGCTATTTTCTAATATTCCCGCCTTTTTGGTGGCACTTTGTGCCAGCCAAAGCCGAAGACTAGGTTTATAATTGATCGTCTTTCCCACGGCGTTCTTATATTAGCTACACATAAAATAAATCTCGTTCAGACATGTTCAATAAGACGAGACATTTTTGGGATAATCGCCAAAACGTATGAGATTTTCTCCGGCAATATTACACGCTCATTTCGGTATATTTTATCAAGTTCTTCCCTTTCAGACATATAACTTTAAATCTGAGTAAGTAGTCACACAAAATTCACACACACTCACACACACACACATACACACACACATGTGTCTTCATATACATATATGCATATACGGATTCAAGGTTGTCTATCTGCTAGTGAGGATAGCTAATCCCTCCTGCTGACATCAGTTCAGGCGCATTTTTGTTTCATCACCCATAAGGTCGCGTAAAGCCTTCTTTTAAACTCTGTCAAAGTT